TCTTTTGCCTTCCCCTAACATCTATTGTTTAATCTCTCTCTCTCTCTCTCTCTCTCTCTCTCTCTCTCTCTCTCTCTCTCTCTCTCATACCTCAGGGCCTTGGCACAGCCTGTTCTCCCTTCCTTTCTCTGACCTATTAAAGTCCACTTTGTTGGCTCAGTCATTACACTTCCCTCTGACCCTTCACATGTGGGCAAACCCCTTTATTTGGTCCTATTCTGTCTTCTCCTTGGCCCTTGTATTCATTGTGGCTAGAGAGGCATTTGGGTGACTCTGCCTGACTGCCATAGCTACCTCACAGCAGCAGAGCCATGACTATTTTGCATTGACATTTCTATGAACCTTCCAGATGACCCATGCCCGAGAAATAGGAACCGAGTATGGGGAAGGACCCTGCAGACTGTGAGCATTGGGTTTCTTGCCACTGTTTTCCCAAAATGATTATTGGAGGCAGGCTGGACCAAGCCAACACTTGGAATGATGAGTTCCAGGAGGGAAGAAGGGGAGACAGGACACAGGAGGAAGAGAAGTGGGATGCTCTCTTCCCTCCGAGGCAGCTGAAAGCCAAGAGCACAGAAGGTGGGAAAAAATCACCAAGGGGATTGGAACTCCATCGCTAGGATAACCTCCTAAGCCTGGTACCCACCTCACCTACTGTGCAGCAGCACCAAGTGGCATAAGCCACCATTCTAGAAGGCCACATTCTCAGCTGTGGGTGCTGTATGTGAGATCCTTTTTAAAGAATGTGCCCCACATACTTCATACTTCTACCCTTCCCTGCCCACTTTTTCCAGAGCTAGAGAAGGATGCTATGCCCAAGCACAAGACAGCCAGCAAAGCTGAAGAATCAGCACACTTGGGAGAAGCCCTCAGCCGTGAAACGCCGAGCTTCCTCACTAGTTCTTGGGAGTGCTTCTTCCAGTGCACTTTCAGATTCCCATGGGGCTTAGGCTGTGGTCGCTCAGAGTAGCAAAAAGCTGTAAAATAACTTTCTTGACTGCCTTCTCTCCCCTGTCTCGCTTGCCCAATCCCTGTGTTGTTACTTGTTCATCCTACAGAAATGGCTTTCCCTGGAATCTTTGTCCTATGTCTATGTCCAGGGAAACCCAAATAGAGGTGGAGAAAATTCAGGTTCTTTAGTGGTACTGCCTGAGTGGTTTTGAATAAACCTGAATCTCTTTTCTAATTGAGGTTCAATAGCTGCTGCACATCAGGGCTACTGCAGGTCTATGCTGGGCACAGCAGAGACAGCGCCCAAGTAACCAGTGGATCTAGAAAGCAGCACAGGATATAAAGGGACACAAAAGAATGTCCTGGAATTTCAATTAAAAAAAAATAGTAAAAGACAAACAGCCTGGAGGCCTGAAAAGTATTCCTACCCTTATATGTGTTTCTCCCAAAGGCCCTGCCTGCCCAGCCTTGATAAACAGAAACATTCTTGGCACAAGAAGAAAACCAGCTGTGATTAGCATATTAAGAAACCCAGAGCCCCAGAAGGCCAGAGAGGAGGACAAAGGCCCAGGCCAGGGAGAACAGAAAAGATTAAAGGGGGAAAGGAGGAGGGAGGGAACTGCCATCCAACAAAACAGTGAAAGAGAAACTTTGGTGAAATAAGCCCTTTCTTCCAAATGATCCTATTTAGAATGTAGTAATAGAGATGGGTTTCCAGGGAGTGGAAATGGGAAGGAAGCGATAGGGAAGGGAATGAACAGGGAAAGTAAGAACAAAGATGCCTTTGCTTTCAGGTAGCTCCAAGGCAGATTGTCAGTAAGGGGATATTTCAAGAACACCAAAGGATCAACCTCCGAACCCCACTTGCTTTATGGAAGTTCTGGAGCTTTCTGGCCTGGGAGGAAGGTGACGATGCTGCAAAAGGAAACTATCACAGGGACTGCAAATTTTATAAAATGAGTCTCTTCTGGGAACAGTAGGCATCCCAGCAGGAAACAGATGGGACTCTCAGTCATTAGGGGAGAAATAATCATGAGTGCCTTCGTAAATGTGTGACTTAGGAGCAGGGGCACGGCAACAGATGCTGCAGTATGCAGAATTAAATGCTACCCAGGCCACAATGATTCTGTAAGGGAAAGGTCACCAGGACCTGGAAACAGAGAGGATGCCTAACCACAGGTGAGACCTCTAGGGACAACTCCAACAAAGGGAGCTAAGGAATAGGTACCTTGGCCCTGCTTTTCCCCTTAGCCCTCTTTATGCCTCTGTTTTCTGCTAGTTGACACCAACCAGAAGCCAGGGTCAATCCGGTGGCTTTCGAGGTGTGGTCCCTGAGACAGCACTATTACTTGGAAGAGGCAGCAAGAGCAGCATCACTTAGGAGCTTCTTAGAAGTGAAATAGGGAATCAGAAGTGGGGAAGGGAGTTCTTGAGTGAGACTAAGGTTTTCTAGCCTCAGGTGGGTCTAACTCGGGAATTAGGAGTGTTAGAAGCTCACGGTTACACAAAATTTCCACTGAGTCTGTGGCTCTGGGTTCTTGTCTTGCAAATTTAGAAAGGTTTGTTTAGGTTCAGTGGGAACTTAAGAGAAAGCAAGCAAGAAGAGCCTCTGTATAAGAGGAGCACATTCTAGAGATGGGGTTGAATAGGATTTATGGCAGGAACTTGATTGAGGCATGGAGAGAGAAGCTGGTTAGTCTAGATGACCTACCCACAAAGCGTCTGTGAGTCTTTCCCTCTCAGTGACTGGCCTGGGAGTTCTGACAGCACATACCACTTCTGGCATGTCTAGCCTCCAGCCAGAGCAGACCCAGAACTAGGACACAAATCAGTGTCTCTGTCGGGAGCATATCTGGCCAAAGATGAGAATCAGAACTGCTGGTTCTCAAAGTCCTTGTCCCTTGTGACTGTCTTCTACCTCCTGTTCTCATCAGAAGTGCTAATGATCAGCTATCCCCCCTGAACCTCCAGCATCAGAAGGCATGGTCCAATGCCTAGCAGTCTCCATTTTTTTAAGATCTCGAGGTAATACTAAAACAGGTCCAACTCATGTGGCTCTGAGACCAGCTTTCCAGATTACAGAGCCAGGTAAAGGTAGAGACTGGAACTGGGAGCACATAGATCATTTGCTGAGACTCTTTCCCCCAAATCTTGGACAAATGACTAAGATTGGGTATTTGGGGGTCTTGGATTTGAGGTCAGGCAGAGCCAAGTTATAATCTCAGTTCTATCCATTGACTTCTAGAGACCTTCAGCAAGTTCCCTTCATTTCTTTAACTCGTTTCTTACTCATGAGGTCAAGATTCCAATGAAGAAAGGCCAAATCAGAATGAATGGGTATGGAATCTGAATTCAGTATGGCTTTTGGAGTCGAAGATTTTAGTCTAGCCTCTTGAGTTTATACCCTGAGACAGATTATCCAGAGATGGACAGTTCTCTGCCCAAGCTCACACAGCCACACAGTGAGTGTGTAGGACAGCCATGATTAGAACTGTGGTCTGTCACCCAG